ATTTGACTGACCTCAGCAGTATTAAAAGATTAAATTATTAGGTAAGTCAATTCTCCTTAACCGCTGTTTGCAATGAGATAGGTGTCAAAATAGCTTCTACTGCACATCATTCACCATCGCATCCCTTATTTGATGAAATTTATGTATATATATGTATTTTCAGGACTTCCTTTGGTCCAGTGATGACTGTATACTAGGTATTAACACTGTACACGACCCAGTATTTTCTTATATGGGCATAACCTATCAGTTATTATTTCCATAAGCTCCAACATTTCACGCTGTACAACAGTGAAAATGCTAACTTGAGAATTTACAGGCTCTGGCCCTCTACTTTGCTTGCCTGAAATCACCTAGAAAGTCTCACTAATTTGAACATAAAGAATGGCAGAATTATCAGCCCTGCAGAACTGATTGTTAAGTGCCTGACAGTCAATTTTTGGACATAAGAATCCTATTTTTGCCTACATTTTTTGTCTAATTTCTCCAAAGTGGATTGCAGGAACTGGTGTCTGGAAAGAATTTTCTGGGCACTCCAGGCAGTACTTCATATAATCCTCATCAAGGGCACTAATGGATTTATCTGTTTGTCAGCAGCGCTACTCCACATGCTCAGTTGTGTAACAGAAGCTCCACGCTAGCTCAGATGGGACCTGGGGACTGCTGAGGGCTGCCCAGAGAAGAATCTGGCTGCATTGTTTTAATTGCTTGCAGAGTTGGGTCCTGCAACCGGGCAGATTCTTTCGGCTTTTGAATTTCAGCCTTCACTGAAATACTTGCCTGAGAATCCTAACGGTGCACACTCAGCTTCCAACAACTGAAGGAACAGCACATAGCTAAACCAGAAATTAAAATAAAAAGAATACAAAATATATTTGAAGTAATTCTTCCTGTCTTTCTTAACGGAGGACAGGAACAACTGTAGATACTAAAGAATTTAGACAAGATAGCTTTAAATAAGTTATTTAACATTCCAGAAGATAATCCATTAGGAACAACAAGATCTCTGAGTGGGTGGTCAGTCACACTGGATAACTTTCCAAGAACCAATTTACCCCAGCTAAAGAGCTCATTGTCTTGGCATCTCCCTGCCATCCACAGAAAGGTTGGAGAGCAAGTGTTCCACTGGGAGACTCTTCTAGGAAGCAAGATGATAAGCTGTTTCAGTCTACGCAAAGTAGCATCTGGTCTCAGTGCATTTAAAAATAATCTGTTTTGACTAGTGTATCTTATATGATAGGCTATCATGTCATGTTCTGGCACTAACAAAAGATGTGAACAATATGAAATGTCATGTTAGGCTAAAGATGCAAAAAGTGTTGCAGAAATTCAAAAGATGTTGGCTTCATCAAAGTGGCATTTTCCATCAGAAAAATGCTTCAAGAAAAAGATTTCTGAATACAGTTGATCTTTTTAAAATAAGAAGGAGGAGCATTCTGAGAAACGTGGCAAGAATTACATTTGTCCAGAGATAGAAGAGACTGACCCAATCCAATTTTTATCTTAAGGCTTTACAGCTTCTGTCTCAAATTCAAGCCATCACAAAAAGGTACAAACCTGTCGTTTTGGTGCAAATAAAACTTTCACGCATAGTTGCCAATAACAATGCAGCAAGTGTAATATTTAAAGAGAAGCTGCTGAATTTAACGTTACTGAAATTTGACTAACTTTGAATTTGGTTGTGTCATTACTTTATGAATAATGATCTGCTGTGCTTGGGAAAAAGTGGGTAACTTTGTATTTAAGCTTTGCTCTATATAGGCATAAGGTTGGTGTGGTAGAGGGGCTCTTGAGTTCAGTGATGCTATAATCTGGTCGGTGTGGATTGCCTCCAGTACTGAATTTATAAATAATCCAAAATAAGGAGGGAAGTCTTAATTTATTTCATTTATTTTTTACTTTTTTGAACTTTGTACAGTTCTTATTTGATTCATAATTTAAACTTTTTTTTATTCATATCCTTTCTTTTTAGAAATTATTTATATAGTTCTTGTTTCATAGTGATGTAAACATTGTGATGCATTCATCACAGTATCTCATCGATGGCTGGATTACTGAAAAGTGCTCAGATCCTTCAGGAATGATAGCAGTCAGTTTTAAAATGAAGGAACTTTTAAAACATATCTTGGTGTTTGGGTCTTTACTTTGAATCTGAAAAGATGTTTTGTGTAATAAGAAAAAAGAACCTGTTTTGAGGCAGGGGAATTATTTTGGGTGAATTCAAAATGTGCTGGAAGAGGAGGGGAGCTTCTTTGTCTGAAGTAAATGCTGCCTTCATCGTGGTCTGTCTCTTGAATGACCAAAATGGCAGATCAAACTAAATACACATTTTTCCTTCTTTCTGCTTTTATGTTCAATCCCTAACTCTTTTAGAGGAGTCATCAGTCAAAATAAGAGACTACAATTTGTGTCTAAGTTTTGTGGTTTCTTCCAAGCCAGATGACAAGTATTTCCCATTTGAATTGTTCATCCTATGAACTGCTAGCAAAGTTTAGGCCATCTCATTTTTGATTCAGTAACGCAATTTCCATCGTAACATAACACTTAGAGGTGTAATTACAAGTTCTTCAGGATCCTAGATTTACTTTAAAGTATGCTAGAGACGTTTTTAAAGAAAACACGGTTTCTACCCACATGATGACAGGAGGAGGAAAAATTGTTCCTCTTTTTACCAGCCCTACAGCCTACACACAGCAAGAGCATCTGCAAGTCTGGGAGAGGTCCTGGTCCCCCTTTCAAGTCCTAGCAGATTAGTCTGTCCTGAAAGTAACAATTTCCCTCACCACCTTGAAGTGTGCCTTTAAAAAAAAAGAAACCAAATGGTATCCTTAGCATTTTAGCAACACTCATCTGAGAGAGGAGGGATTATCACACTGGTTGGCGGTGGTGCACGGACATCGCAGCAGTATCTTGGTACCTGAGAAGGAAGGATCAGAGATACACACACAGACACACACAGGCACAGAGAGTCTCCTGTTCTTCAGAAAGGAAGCAAACTTCCTCTTGATAATGGAAGGTTTGAAGGAAATGTGCAATATTTTTCACAATTAAAAAAATGCATATTAATGAGGATCCCTTATTTCTTAGTGCAGTTTCTTGGACAGAAATGTATTTTAATGTGGACCATAGCAGTTATCCAGCACACCCAGAAACCATCAGGCATGGTGTATAGATGATCGCTACATGGGTATGGAGTCCAACAAGTCCCAAGCACATTGGGATCTACGTGTGTGCACTGGGCAAGTCCATTGATAGTTGACACACGTCACACTTTTTTCTGTTCTAGGAAGATTTCCAAGTAGAAAAAAGGAACATACATGAAGTCCTGTTGAGATGATGACTCTCTATGTATGTATTTCACATGTTGGTAGCCAATGTCTCACCTAGGGGGTGATAGGTAGCGAGAAATGTTTAGTGACAGACCAAATAGACCTTCTGCTCCCACATCTTTGCAGTAGCAGAAATTTCTGGCCAAGCTCTCAAAGGAGGTTATGCCATGCCTATAACACCTCCTGTCAGCCCGTGCCATTTCAGAGATGGCTGTCAGCCCCAAGCCCAGGAATCATCACTGCACTGTGATGCAGCACCCGCTTCTGCGCTGTGTTGTCATTGACAGCCTTCATGGCAGCTTGGCACAGATACCCTAATGTAAATAGGGAACTAGGAGAGGCAGACAGGTTTGTGTTCAACGTATGTGCATTTAGAAATATGCAATAATTGTCCATAGTACAGAGGTTCTGAAAGTCCTAACAATGAACAAGTACTGGTCTCTACAGGGATGTAGATGTTGCCCTGTCATTCTCGTTTGCTGGGAGCTTGTCCTTGCCTGTTTTAACATAAGGACAATATAACCAACTTTATTAGTGCAAGTTGTTAGAGACTCTTAAAACTCTCCTTGGGCAGCAGCGACAGGAAAGAAATTCATTATGAAAATCTGAATCTTGGATCTGCTGCACACACTTTTCCCAAAGGTGGGATAATATCTAAGCATACCTACTGCCGGCATGACTGGCTTGGAGGCAGAACACAAATTGCAATTGTTTCATAACACTCGGGGACTTCCTTTGGAAGAAACAAATGCTTCAACTTACTTGTGTGCAAACTACATTTCCTCAGACATCTATCATATTTTTTCCTTCTGTTTTTAATGAATTGTGACTAGATGATGCTATCACAGAGAAAGAGTGTTTACAATTTGAGAAGTTATAAGTAGTGCTTAAATGGAAGAGTTTACCAAAATTACCCACGTTAATTAACACCTCGGTGGCATGTGAGTTTATGGGAAGTAACACTCTGTATTTCAGCCCATGATGTAAATGTTGAGCATGTAGCTGTTTCAAGACTAAGTGAAGCCTACATTTTCCTGGCTACATGGAGGGAAGTGTTTTCCCGGATTTGCAGTCTCAGGACAGTTTAACAGCTGCAGAAGTAGGCACAGAAAGTCAAACTAGTTTAGAGGTGCCCATGCTGTGGGATGGGGAGGAGGCCAGCGGGCTCAGGGGCATGCAGCACTGATGATAAACTTCAGCTCTGGACTCCTGCTCCCCTACTTCAGCCACAAAATTATCTTTCTGAATATGTTGTATTGAATGACCAAATATATTGTAATGGTATATTACATGCAAATGTCCAGGGTATTCCTCCTAGCCTTGCCTGGGTGTGAGGAGACAGTCCACAGAGAATAACAGAAATGATGGGGCATTTTTCATGTGGTATTCTGTAATCAGGTTTTGAATAGTCGAATTATATTTTCTGGTGTCTCATTTGCTGTAACTTGACAGGAATTAGATTTACAAAAGAATGACAGAAAACCTTGCAAAGCTTTGCATCTACATCAGCCTACCTGTTTCAAGGTGCAAACCCTTGCTCTTGCTTCCCATAAACAACATCTTTCACATCTTGTTCTTCTGATTTTCCTTTCTTTTATATGTTAAGTTCTTTCCATCATTTCACCTTATCCTGCATTGTCAGGTTAATGTTCCCTTCACCTGTGTTCACAGAGAATGCAAATAAACTGGAAGAAAGCGCAAGAGGGATCTACATCCCTTGTCCAGAGCATTACAACGGCTTCTGCATGCATGGCAAGTGTGAGCACTCCACTAACATGCTGGAACCATCTTGCAGGTAACCCTTCTACCAAGGAGGAAAGGCTACACGTGTGAAAATACTGACTTACAAAAACAGTCTAGATAAACTATGGGAAATAATAGTAATCATGGCCTTTTTTGCTACAAAAACCATTAGACTTAAATTATTCAACAAATTCCCCGTTTTATGTGGCAAAAGTTTATTGAGTAACACACAATGTTAATTGATGGTAAAAACATTCAGTAACCTTCAGTTATATTTAGTTATATTTTAAAAATCACTTTGCAAAGTGCTCGGGCAGCCACTAGGTAGCCTCCTCGGTCTGAAGGAGAGGAGTGTCACCAGGGATATGTCCCTGCTGTGGCAGGAGTGATGCTCATCGGGCAGCGAGCTGGGGCAAAGGTGGCTCCTTCACGCAGGAGGTGGCTTTGGAGGAGGTTAGAGCAGGGAGGAGGAGTGATAGTGAAAGCACATGTTTCTGCAGCAAATGCCTCCCTGCAGAGGTGTGGATATTACTTATGAAGTCCAACCAGTGGCCTGGTGGCAAAGAAAGGGACTACTACACATGAAGCACTGTTTTCCTGGGACATTGGACTAGGATAGCAAAGATACAGTCCAGACTTACCCCCCAGGGCAGATCCTCAAGCCAGCTTCTCCCAGCACCCACAAACAGCCAGGGCATGTTTTGCTCTTTGCAAGTGCTGCGTTCTAAGTTCTCCATTCAGCTGGAAAATGTCCTTTCCTCAAGCTGCTGGCTGCTGTGGGAATGCAGGAGAGGAAAAGGGTGGAAGCTCAAGGCTGAACCCATCAGGGTTAGTGCACCACTAACACTTCTGAGACAAGCCCAAGCGATCTGGCTGCTGCCATTGACCTGGATTTTTGCGTCTTCTTGCTTGGGCTTTTTAGGGAAAACGGGGCAAGAGCTAAAATGAGAAAAACACTGTTTGCTCCCCAAAATCACAGAGGGGAGACGTCAGGCTGCAGGATGGGAAGTGGTGGGCAGCACAGCAGGCAGCATTGGGGTGGATGGTTGCAGCATCAACAGAGGGTTTTTTTATAGCAACCAGACAAAATGTAAATGAAGTGTCTACTTGCAGGAACATCTAATCACATTTCATATGGATCTTGGATGATTGCTTATCACCTCCTTAGGGGTAATCTGCATAAGGAGCCACAACTAGATGGCTTTTCACCCTCCCCCACCTCCCCAAAGAAAGGGAGAAATCTAAAATATGTTGTGCAAGGAACTAAATGGATTCTCTTCACAACGTGCAAGTAGTTCCACTTGATGCTGGGTAAGTCCCAGTCCCCTGGGCACCTCCTGGCACTATTGCAGTGTCGTTCATTCTCGCAGACCTTGGTAACACTGAGGACATGAAGTCTTCCCTCTATGAGGTTGAGGAGGCACCAGCATTCTCTCTAGGGGGCCTGTCCTGCGAAGAAAACACATATGCTTATGCTTAGGCCACTGATTTTTTTTTCCAGCATTCTTTGAAAGCAGTAGGTATAACTGGAAAAAGTATTTTTTGTTTCAGATGCGATGCCGGATATACTGGACAACACTGTGAAAAAAAGGACTACAGCGTTTTATATGTGGTTCCAGGTCCAGTACGATTTCAGTATGTCTTAATAGCAGCTGTGATTGGAACCATCCAGATTGCTATCATCTGTGTTGTAGTCCTCTGTATTACAAGGTCAGTATCTCTGGTACTTTGTAATAGAAAAAGAAAATACTTTTGTTTTTTGTACTTTGTGCGCTGATTATACAGATTTCTGCAGTGACACTACTGATAACAAATGCTATTTAATTCTCCAACAAACAGAAGACATCGTCTGGTCCAGCCAGCTAGTGCTGCTTCATTATTATGATTGAATTTTTACTTCCATCTTAATCAAACTTAGGTAGCAACGGTGCCTACAGCAAATGAAGGTTCCAATTTTGTATTCAGATGCTTGGACAAATATTGTTGATATAAATAAGAGGAATATAAATACAGCAGCTGGATCAACACTTAATAAAACTAATCATATCTCCATCTGGTTTCCTCAAGGGCCCATTCCCTTAGTCCTAATCAGGCAAAGCATACAAACTTTTAAGCCTGTTTGCAATCCTGTTGATTAAATGATTTCATTAGGCTTGTATACATGTTCAAAGGTACCGCACATGTTTAAGGCCATCACTTGATGGTGGCACACCAAGCCATGGTTGTTTTTTTTCTTTAATGAGGAGGAAAGGGTTGTTTGTATGGAAATGATAGCCTCAGGGTAGTTCAGAATGAGAGGGGTAAATGCAATCCTTACCCTCCTACACATGCTGCTCCACTTCCCCACTGAACTATGTTACTGTTTCTGGGAGGGCTTGGGGTAAGTTCTGAACTTCAGATGTCTTCAAGTTTCTCTCAGAAATGAGGAGGTTAAATTAATTCAGCTAGCTACACTGATAAATCACTCTTTTAGAAACAGATTTCTTGCTAAAATAAAAAAAAAAATAAATAAAAGCCAGATATCATATCTCTGTAGAAAATGAAATTTCTAATATATTTCAGTCCCTATGTTGCACTACCTGGCTGGAAGACAAGTGTCACATTTGTTCCTGGAAAAGACCAAAAAAAAAATCATAACTCCTTCTCTGGCCTAAAGGCATAAACCAAAAACATCTGATGAAAGGTAGCTGCTTTTTTGGCCAAGCTGAGTCCATCAACTCGGTGGTAAACACTGAGTGAGGCAGTAGATTATGGTGATATTCACAGAACAAATGCTCTGTATCACTTTGTCGAGTGACTCCACTTTTGTCACCTTGACGCAGTAATGCAGAGTACTTCATATTGAAGAATGAAGACAGTGCGCTGCTCCGAGTGATCTGGTACTGTCATGCAAATTACCCATCACACTGTTTTCATAAATAGACCGTACCTTCCCCCCCACACACACTTTGTAACCGAGTTAATTTATGATCTTTTGACTTTTTTCTGTAATGCATGTAATTACTGCAGAGCATCCTCCATCCCAGCATAATGATTCAAGATACATTTGCAAAAGTGTACCCTTAAGCGGCCTAAGAGAAATCCATATGACAAGAGAGCATTGTGGAAGCACATGCATAAGTAATTGAGTTTTTGAAGTCATCTGCTTTGGAGAATCTGGCTGTACTGGTTTGAACTCCACACCCTGAACTCTCGAAAGTGCTAAAACCATCCTACCAGGCTCCTGGGAGATAGAAGGGAAACTTCACTCGCTCAGAGGCTGCTGCGGTCAAATTCTACAGCTTATTTCAGTGCAGCTTCACCTACTTAAGTTATCAAATGAGTTTGGGGCACTATGTCCAAACCCTGCCTTTGAGCTGCATAAGACTACCATTGTAAATCTTTTAGCTGTCGTTACTGTTGTTGCTCTTAAAATCATACCTGTACAGTAGTGCAAATCTGTGGGGCATTCTCCATTGCTGGAGGACTCTGAGCAATTCCCAGCCACTTTATGGCCGTTGTTACACAGACACTTGCTGTGCTGCTGACAGGGGCAGTCTTGCCCCTTCCCCTGGCACCTGGGCACTTGGTCCTGCCAATGCTCTTGCGCCACCAGTAGCATTTCTGTAGCCACACAAAGAACCTGGTCAGGGGACAGATTCAGCTGAAAACTCAGCCAACAAAACTGATCTATTTGTTTTTACGTGGCTTGATTCCTTGGAGAAGTTGGCTACTCATCGCTAGTGCCAGCAGTGGGAATAAGCGGCTGGGCTGGAGGAGTAGGGTACCAGAGGCCAATAAGTACGGAAGGAAGGAGGTGGGGCAGTGAGGCACAGTCCCTACACCCAAGGACTTAGGTAAATAATATAGGTATGGCTTAGTGTCATAATGATTCTCAGCAGTTTTCTTTACAGCTTTGCATTTTTAGTGCTACCCTAATGTTTAGTCACAGCGGCTTATTTATGTGAAGAAACAACTTGATTAAAAATGAATGCATAATGTGTTTTACCTGCTATGAATCACATTGTGAGTAACTCAAGCTTGCGAGCAAGCTTCAATGGAGGGAGGGCAAGCAGCCTGTGCTCCAGTACTTAGTTTACATTGACATAACTGCTGTGTTCATAAATGAATGCATCCCCCACACAGAGCACTACAAAGAATTTCTGATTAAAGACTTAAGGACCAAGGAAAAGCTGTCACTCAATTTTAGCAGATGATTAAGTCTAAAAAGCTGGTTAAAAGCCAACACCCCTCTTAGGAAACCCAGATGCGCTTCAGATACAACCTACCTGTAAATGCAATAGCACTGCATTTAAGCAGTTGTGGTGTCAGTACTAGGCCCTGGATCTTCCCAGGCTTCCATCAGTTGGTAGCGTAGTGTATTATGCAATTAAAACATGGTCATTTTTGGTTAAAAGATGCATTTTCATCATCTTAATTGGAGTAATCTCTATATTTGAATTGATTTCTCTCGACCTTGGACTGAGTGACTGTATAGATACTGTCAGTGCTGGTTTTGGTAAAGCACCCTGTGAGATGCTCATCTCCCTGCTTCCAGCTGGAGCAGTTGGTATCCACTGTTCCTCGGGAACGCACGGCTGCATCCCCTACGAGCGCTGGCCATCCTGGTCATTCCCCAGCCACCCGCTACCTCCATGTTTCTTGCAAAACCAGTCTGTCTGTGACCACTGTGGCTTCCCACACCTGGTTCCCCAACGCTGCTTCGCACAGCAGAGTGCTGGGGCAAAGCAGGGCTGCACCTTGTGGTGTAAATCCTCATCCTCTGGGACTCAGGAGGAATCCCTGGTAGCTTGGTCATCCTGCGTGGCAGCTGGTGGCTGCAGCAGGGTTTAGCAGTGCTGACTCTCAGCATGTCAAGGTGTCGGTGCTGCAAGGTCCTGCTGTGCAAGCTCTGGCTGAATGGGCAGGAGAGGCCGCTCGGGGACAGTCGGGGCTGGGAGGCTCTCAGTGTGCACATGACATGCGGCTCAGTGAATCAGCCCTGTGTTTGCTAACAACAGCTCCCTGACTCACTCAACGTTTGACTGCCTTTTTAGGAACACGCAGTGAATAACGAGTTTGTCATGAAATCGCAAACCAGCTAAAGTCTGCATTAGTTTCATAATGAAAGCTCTGCCGTGACCTCCGAGAGCACTGGAGATGCAGGCTTATTTTTCCTGGAGTAATGATAGCAGCCTACTTTACTGCTTCCAAGAAAGGAACGAGGCAAAATATAGCGCACAGCCATACAGTTTCTCACGAGGGGGTGGTCCCATTGGCTTAAAAGTGAGGCAAGTCAGGACAATCTGACCCATATTTTGTTAGACACTTACATAATTGTATTTCAGCATTGTGAAATGCTTTGTAAGTCCTTATGCTCTTGTTTAGCCTTTCAGCTGGTGTCACAAAACTATAGCATCACTGCCATTTGACGGGGGGGCGGGGGGGGGAAATGACCATTTTGATTTTAAAGGGTCAGCAAAAATTTATTTGACTCTATTTCGCTGTTAGCTGTTTGACACAGAGCTGAAGGCAAGTGCTTTGAGTTCTCACTGATCTGAGATGGTGGGCTCTTCCCGGTGCATAACCCATAGGGTTTCGCAAGGTACCACTGAAAGCTTTCCCGTAACAGAAAAACAAGTTAGCCCAATACAAAGGGATTTTTTTTCTGTGTCAGCATGGTCTGGAGTATCGTGGGTCTTTGTGTCATGCCACTCTGAGAGGGTGTTTCAGTCTTTCTTGTGTATCTGCCCACGCGGAGGGCAGAATGAGGCACACCGAGGCTAAAAACTGGTACTGAGCTTCAGCTGAAGAAAGAGGACAAATGCATGGCCAAATTTGGAATAGCTTGTTCCTCCTCCTGTGCAAAATGTTAACTAGATCACCCTGGATAAAGAACCGTTTTTATGGCTGGTTGTTTCTCTGTAGCTCACCATTTTCCTACTGGTACCACAAAGGCAAAAAGTGCGTAACCCCCTTGACTTTCAGCTGCCTAGACTTCCTGTGGCCTCCACCTGGGGCTAAACTTCTCCATGCTTTCTGTCTAAGGGTGCCTTTCCATGGGAGGAAACCAGAAACACGCTATTTTCTTTCCATTAGGGGGAAACGCTTCGTAGCATCCCCATAGCCGACGATGCTGCAGGTAAAAGGTTGAAACATGCCCTTGCTGAGGAGCACCATGAGGTCCTGAGGCAGAAGAGATTTGCTTTTGCAGCCATCCAAAGGAAAATAAGATTTTGGTCTTTCCAGTGCGATTGCTTTCCACACTAAGCCAAGCAGCCGTGTGAGGAGCGTAGTGCGGTGCAGGCACCCGTAAGTGAAGTAGCTGCTCACTAATGAGCTGAGCATGGAGCATTTCCATGGAGACTAATAGGGATTGCGGACGCTTAGCTCCTCAGAAAGGCAGCCCCCGCATCCACTTTGTAAATACTTCACAGACCTGGGACGCCGAGAAGGTGAGCGTGAGACTGTCCTAAATCTTCCACCTGCGCCTCGCTGAAAATAAATCCATTATTTAAAGATGAGAGATGCAGTGCAGTTGGGGCTGTCACAACACAGCAGAGTCACCACTGCTCACCAGTAAGGAGCAGGAATCTTAAAGTTTCCGTTGCCATATTTTTATTTACAGTATGTTT